TTTTTTTTTTTTTTTTTTGCGGTACTGGGGATTGAACTCAGGATCCTGCGCTTGCCAGGCAAGCACTTACTCTACTGAGCTATTTCCCCGGCCCCTGGGTCTTCTAAGTCTCCTCTGAGCCTGGACCCTGACACTTCTGGGAAAAAATGGGCAAGTATGGCCATTCTCAGATCATGAAAGAGTAGGAGGAAGCTCAGCAGGTCACAGCCAAATCCTGCCTGACCCTCACACTGAAATATGCTACGGAACAGCGGCTGCTACTATATTAGGCAGGCGCCACACAGAAGATGCCCTCCACACAGGGCCTCTAAGCTCTTGAAGGCTCTGGTACTGCCCTTCCTCCAAAGGGCAGCTCCAAAAACCAAAGGGCAATCCTAGTATCTGAAAGAGCAGCCATGACCTGGAGAGAGACAAACAGTCCCTGATTAATATACCAGAGCAAGCTCTTGGCAGGGCAGTTGGCCTCCACAGGGAGAAGTGTTCATGGGATTAATCGCTCCCACTGAATAAAGACGCTTTATTATGCAAACCACACAAAGATCCCAGGCCTCAACCTGTTTCTGATCTTTGGTCCCACCCTCGCCTGAAGTGCCAGAGTGTCCTGTGGAGTGTGCCAGTGTCCTGAGCAGATCAGCATGTGGGCAGCCTCCCTGGGCTGCCTGCAGGTACTCAGGGACTTGTGGGAGCCCCAAATGGAGAGAAGTAGGGTGGTGTGACTTTTCCACCTGCTCAAGTTCATTGGCTACAAGAGTCCACACAGTCCTGTCCCCTGTGAAATACCTGGTAGATGCTGGTAGGAGGGAACATAGCAATGGCACCAAGCAGGGAGCCCACCTGGATAGTTACGCCAGCTGCTAGCAACGCTGGCTGGCCACCACTATGTAGTACGGAGCTGACTGCCACCTTGACGTAGGAGAACAGGCCCATACACAGCACCCATGACAGCACCTGGGGAAAGGGTCACAGCAAGTTGGGTTGCCCCTGCCCGAGGGCAAGCCTTCCCCACCTCTCTTCTCCTCTGTACTTACCACAAGAACCATGCCTGTAGAGGTGCCCACTAGGGGAGGACAGGGGCTCAGGACTGCCAATGCTATCAAGTAGGCCCCAAAGAACATCCCCAGCAGAAAGATGCCACAGAGCCCTGCCAGAGACCTGCCAGGGATGGGCAGATTCAGCACAGGCTATGCAAGACCCAGTCCCATCCTGCGTTCCTCCCACCAGGAAGTGGGGCTCACACGCACCTGCACAGGATGCCCATGGCCAAGAAGCAGGCAAGGGGGTTGGCAGAGCTGCCCAGCACCACCGCTAGGTGGTAAGTCAGGAGCCCATAGGGCAAGCTGGAAAAGCTCTGCACAGCAGGGAGCACACCATTGGTCAGTGCATTGGTGATGGCCAGCAGGCCCAACAAGCAGGCACTGTGGGCTGAGAACAGCCGATAGGCCTTAGGGTCTGGGCTGACAGTGGTGCTTGCTGCCTGGCTGGGTGGCTCCTGCAATGGTGAAGCTTCTTCCTCGTCCTCCTCTACTCCTGGTTCTCCCACTCGCAGGCCCTGCGCAGGGCTGCCTGTGGGTACACACGGGGGTGATGGCAACAACAGCAGGAGGCCTTGGAAGGCGGCAGCTGAGGTGACCAGAAGGGCAGTCAGTAGCCAGAAGAAGGTGCTGGCAGGAAAACGCTCAGGGAAGTAGATGGGCACAGAGGTGTCATCGCACTCAACGCGGCCCACACCCTGAATGAGGGCCAGCATACAGGGTAGCAGGGCACTGAGGCCTTGACCCAGGAAGAAAGACCGTAAGAAGGTAGGTGGCAGGTGGCTGAGGAAGGGCAGGAAAGTGACATTAGAAGCACAGCAGGCTAGTGCTAGCACGAATGCCAACGTTAGAAAGGCCACAGAATGGGAATGTCCTGCCACTGGGGCCACATGACACCACAGAGGGGCCAGCAGGGCTGTGCCTACTATGCCCAGCCACTGCACCACCTGGATAGGGACCCGCTCGCCCTTGCCCGGGGCCAGCCGCCTCCACAGGGTCACCACCAGCAGACCCAGGTTCCCCAGCGCCACAAGCACAGAGAGGTACGAGGGGAGGCTCCAACCTGTAGAGGGGGAGGAAGCTGCGTCAGGATAGCTGAAGGAGACCCCAAACCCGCAGCACAAGCCCACCCTACCTCTTCACTCACTCTCAGGGAGGCGTTTCACCACCACGGGCAGTTCCACCCAGACGCCATTCACAGCAGCCCAAGACCCCATGCCGAAGAGGGCCACAAGCAGGTGGGTCAGCACCAGACGGCCCAGGGACGGTGCTGCCATGAGGCCAAAGAGGGCCCTCCAAGAGGGGGCGGAAGGTCACAGATCGCTCTTTTCCCACCTAAGTCCTACGAAGCTCTGGTTCTCCTGGACTCGGAAGACCTCTTCCAGCTGCAAGGAAACAAACAAAGCATGCGGGACAGGGCCAGAAACCGAGGAGGTCATCGGGGCCCCAGGAGGGGATATTATAAAGTCGGCGGCCGCACATACCACGGAGCCCGCACAAGGCACCAGTAGGGGGGAGCTCAGCGGACTTTGTTACCCAAGGAGGAACAGCCTTCTTTACAGTTAAAATACTGCAGCCCTCTCACAAAGACCCAGGACCGCGAGCAGTCGGCAGATTTCCCCGAACCCAGCGTGGACCACGGCGAGGAGGCGTGGCCGAAGGCTTCCGGGGCACCGACGCCGGGGCAGCCCCGGATGCAGCCCTGGGGGCTGGGTGGTGCACTCCTCAGTCCCTGCCTGACTTCGGCGGCCCCCCCTCTCCGGAAGCGGAATTTGGAGCTCGGCCGCCAGTGGAGCTAGAGGGGAAGACGGAGATTGGTGGCTCCTCCCCTTCCGCCAGGTCCTACTTCCGCTCCGCCGGCCGCGGTGTTTGTGGCTATGGCTCCAGCGCCTGCCCGCCGGCCTCGGCGTAAAGCCGGCCGCCGAGCCAGGAGCTCGCCGCTGGTCGGGGCGCGGGGCCGCTCGGCCGAGGACTGGTGGTGGGACCGGCTAGCGCCCAGCGGCTCGGAGTACCACCTGTTGCAGGCAGACAGCATGCTGCTCGTGCTGCCGGGTCCGGGACCTTCCCGCCCCCGCGCGCACAGGCGCGCCCCTCGCCGCGCTCAGCGGCTGCGGTCGGGCTCTGCTACAGCGCCCAAGTCCAAGTCCCGACCCCGACCTGAGCCAGCGCCTGCGCTGGAGCAGGGGCCCGACGCAGGCTGGGGAGACCGCATTCCTTTGGAGCTTCTGGTGCAAATTTTCGGGCTGCTGGTGGCAGCTGATGGGCCCATGCCGTTCCTCGGCAGGTACACGGCCCCACTTTGTGTAAACTGCAGGGTTTATGGAGTGGGTGGCTGGGCACCGCAGAGGGTGAAAGTGTCTTAGTGCGCCCACACTTGTTCTTGGGCATCAGGAATCTACTTGGAACCCCAGGGGCGTTAAGCAGAGATGCCCGCTGGGCTGCAGGTGGGGCGTCATATTGGTCCCCCTCCAGTAAATCACATCAAACCCTATCGCCGGCATCGCCCACGGGACACCGTCAACGAAATGTTCTTCCAGGGCTGCGCGCGTGTGCCGCCGCTGGCACGAGGCCGCCTCCCAGCCCGCGCTCTGGCATACTGTAACTCTGTCGCCCCCGATGGCTGGCCGAGCTGTCAAGGGCAATGTCAAGGCAGAGAAGAAGCTTCTTGCTTCCCTGGAGTGGCTCATGCCCAATCGGTGAGACACCCCTGTTTTTACCACTCCCTCTGCCAGTGTTGGTGGGCAAGACACTGGCTATAGGGGCAGCTTGGGAATGCTAGTGCAGCTGGGCTTCTGCTGTCGCCCAGGTTTTCACAGCTCCAGAGGCTGACCCTCATCCACTGGAAGTCTCAGGTACACCCTGTGTTGAAGGTGAGCGCTCAAGGCCGCCCTGCACACCAGTTGTGACACTTGAGACTGTCCAGTACTTCCAGAGAGTGGTTCTGTAGTTCTCCACGAGGATGCTTGCCTTTCCTGTTGTCACCCTCAGCAGGATGGGGCCAGCTGTAGGGGCACCTGGGTGTACCTGGGTTGAGCAGAATCCAGGTCATAGAGAGGGCTGTACAGTGGGGTTGGCATGGCAATGAGTCTCTTGCCCTGGGGACTTTTGCCTGCCCTCTTCCAATGTCATGTGGCCTGTGTCTTCCCACAGCTGGTTAGTGAGTCCTGTCCTCGGCTCACCTTCCTCAAGCTTTCAGACTGCCATGGTGTAACTGCTGACACTCTGGTCTTGCTAGCTAAAGCCTGTGGCCAGCTTCACAGCCTGAACCTACAGCACTCCATGGTGAGCCCTGTGTCCCAAAGGGCCCTGAAGAAGACTGAGCACGGGTGACAGGCACTTCTGTCCTGGGTCCCCAGGTGGAGTCCACAGCTGTGGTGAGCTTTCTGGAGGAAGCAGGGTCCCGAATGCGCAAGCTGTGGCTGACTTACAGCTCCCAGACAACAGCTATCTTGGGTGCACTGCTGGTAGGTTGGCACTGGGCAAGAGCAGAGCCAAATGCTCATCTGGCAACTGCCAGGTGGCTGACCCACTACGTTCTTCCTCTGTAGAGCAGCTGCTGCCCTCAGCTACAGGTCCTGGAGGTGAGCACTGGCATCAACCACAACAGCACTCCACTGCAGCTGCCTGTTGAGGCTCTGCAGAAAGGATGCCCCCGGCTGCAGGTACCTGATGTCCTGCCTGCCCCACCTGTTACCCCCCTCCCTCCCTGCAGCCTGAGCCTTGCCTCTAGGTGCTGCGGCTGCTGAATCTCATGTGGCTGCCCAAGCCTTCTGGGCGAGGGGTAGCCCTGGGACCAGGCTTCCCTAGCCTCGAGGAGCTCTGCCTGGCCAGCTCCACCTGCAACTTTGTGAGCAATGAGGTCTTGGGTCGCCTGCTACATGGCTCCCCCAGCCTGCGGATGCTGGATCTCCGTGGTTGTGCCCGTATCACACCTGCTGGCCTGTATGATCTGCCATGTCAAGGTCAGCTCTTGCAGGGTGATGACTAAGCAGGTGGGTTGTGGTCCTTGCCTGTCCTGTGACTCATGCCTGCTTTTCTCATCTTAGAACTGGAGCACCTACATCTGGGTTTGTATGGGGCATCGGACCGGCTGACTCTAGTCAAGGAGGGAAGCTCTCTGTTGACCCAAAAGTGGTACCACACACTGAGGGAACTGGACTTGAGTGGCCAGGGCTTCAGCGAGAAGGATCTGGAGCAGGCACTGGCTGCCTTCTCAGGCATCCCTGGAGGCTCACAGCCAGCCCTGTGCTCCCTCAACCTCAGGGCTACGCGTGTCACACCGAGCACTGTCAGGTCAGCATCCTTTTCCCTTGGAACTAGTATGAGGCTCAGTTATGATGGCTGGCCTGATGTTTGCAGGGTCTGAGAAGTGGGTGTGTACTGACCAAGTTCCTTCTTGGCACTGGCTTTGGGGATGCCAAAGTCCTGGGCTTGGGCCTGGATTACAGTAGGTAGCAGGCCAGGGGTTGAGCACAGGGAGACAAGGATCCCTGGTTGTCTGTACCCTGTCAGAGCCTGGGTTTTCTGAGCAGTTATTCACTTGCCTCTGGTTTGCCTTACCCACAGTTCTCTGATCAGTAGCTGCCCTGGCCTGCTGTACCTCAACCTGGAGTCCTGCCGTTGCCTCCCCAGGGGCCTGAAGCGAGCCTATCGGGGTGTGGAAGAAGTCCAGTGGTGTTTGGAACAGCTGCTCACCAGCCATGCTTCCCCCAGCTAGGTGACTCTGGACCAAATCTGGCTAGCCTTGCCCTGCAGTGTTTCGTAGTTTGAGATGTTTGAACATTTTGTCACAATAAAACGTTTCTAGGAATTTTGTGTGGCTCTTGGACTAGGCCCTTAGATTAAGAATGGGTTACACCTAATGGATGCTGTGTTATTGGGGAGGCCCCAAGGACAACCAGCACCTGTCTTTGCCTTTGCATGCTCACTGCTGGGTTCTGCCTTTGTACTGTCTGTCTCTTCTCAGGATCCTAAGGGGCTGGGGAGATGGCTCAGTAGAATAAGCACTTCCCTGGCAAGCACAAGGGCCTGAGTTCAATCCCCGGTTCAAAAAAAAAAAAAAAAAAAAAAAATCTCAGGATCCTGAGTTCTTGAGTGAACTGTTGGGGAGGAAGTGGGAACAGAATGGCTGTAGAGAGGCAGGGGCCTTGTTCAGCATAGGCCTGGAGTGTCCACGTACCCATCCTTAAATGAGGACTGTGAACCAGACTGCAACAGGTTGCAAGTGGAATGGAGAGCCAGAAAATGGCATGTCCATGAAGAAGGGGTGGTCAACAGAGGCCCCCTTCTAGAACCTGCCATCCAGAGCTTCTAGAACCTATATGAGGCCCAGTCTGAACTGTTCCTTGGTTTCATTCCCCTGTGGACTGTTCCTTCTCAGGCTACAGTCCTGGAGATTTTGTTCCAGGTAGGAGTGTGACTGGGTAGTGGGCAGTGGCACTGGCAAACTGCCAGGCTGACACCTCTGCCCAACCCAGAATACCAAGGGCTGGGCTAGTGGCCTGCCCACATCCTCCACTGGCAACCGCTTCCAGCTCTGGTCCCTGAGCCTCTCCAGAACAGAGCGGCATCTTGCCAGGCGCCTCAAGAATAACAGCTTTTACCCATTCACCCAGCAGCAACCTGGCGGTGAGAGGGCTGAGGACCTGGAGGAGAACACATGGAAGGGGCCTGGGCAAGGCCGGCAGGCCTTTGGGCCCAGGCTGTGCCCAGAGCCCTGACAGGTGTGGCAGGGGTGGGGGTGGAGTGGTGGACATTGTTCTCAAATGTACACCTGCAGTCCTTGTGCTAGAGTATTACCTGGATACACTCTGGAAGGGGACCCTGCTCTTCGTCGTCTGCCTGGTCCTGGTCAGCTTAGACATCCTGTGGCAGGTCTGCTCTTCTGGTCCCAACCACAGCACCAAGTCCCGCCCCTTTGACCCCCTCACCCCACCCCCACCCTGTTTCTGAGCCTCAGCCATCAGATCCTTGGTACCAACGTCACCCACAGGCGGAGAAGCAGGTGACCTGGGCCGTCTCGGCCTATGGCATGTGCGTGGGCCTGTGGCTGCTGATCTCATCGCTGCCTCTGCGCCGTTTGGTGCTGAACCACACGCGCGGCATGTACCACTTCTCCATCCGGGGTCGCACCGTGTGCCAGGGGCCCATGCACCTGGTCTATGTGCGCCTGGCGCTCAACTCCGACGGTGACTTGTGGGGCTGGTCGGTGGGTGGGCGGACGGGAGGGAGAGGACAAATTGTTGTGGCCTGGTCTCAGAGTGCTCCCCTCTGAAAGCCTGGTCCCCTCTGGAGGTCCCTCTTAGCTCCAAAGGCCCCGCCCTAAAAATACCCCCTTAAGGCTCCGCCCCAGAGGCCATGTGAGCAACCTACCCTTCACCAGCCAAAGGAAGGCGCTTCTTCCAACTGGTCCTCTGCGGCCACAAGCTGGAGCCGCTGGTGCTGATTCAGCTGTCAGAGCGCTACGAAGTGAGTCAAACTCCAGACATAACCCCTCTTCTGAAGAAAATGACAGCGATCAGTGTTTGGGGTCTGTGGGTGGGGCCATTTCAGAAGGAGAGGTTGCTTCAGCCACCTAGATCTCAGCGCAGTGAGAGCATCCTGGGAGGTCCGGGGTGGAGCTTCCTCGGAGGTGCGTCCAGTCCCCGGAGACCCGACCATCACCCTTTCCTGCAGCACATGGAATATCTGGGCCGTCACATTGCTCGGAAACTCAGTATCAACTACTTCGACTACCTAGTCACATCTTACCGGCACGAGATCCGCCACTGGCCGCTGGGGGCCGCCTTTAGTCCAGGGATCGTGACACGGAAGGACCACATCTGAAAAAAAGACTGGCTGCTTTGCAGCGATCTGGATTTGTGACCTGAAGCCTGTCTGGCTTCAGCCCCTATCTGCTAGCTCTGGGAGACCTTCCACATCCACCCCGGCCATTCGAGTCCCACCTGCTGCTCTGCCTCCCAATAGAGCTGCTTCTAGCTTCCAGCTAGGTCATTTTTTGTGTTGTGGAGGTTTCCATCCAGGATCTTTCATAGTGTAGACCCCACCACCACCCCAAAGCCTCAAAAATTTTCTTGCCCAGCCTTTGGAGCAGCCCCCAGAACCTGGTTAGGAAGAGGAATGTGTTCAGTTAGGCCTTCCATGATTGTACTTTTCTGCTGCAATTTGAGGCCTGGAGGACTGAAATGGCCTCACTTAATAGGTCCAGGAGTCAGAATCTGATGGATCCAATCTGGCTTAGGTGCCTGGCCCTGATCCAATCAGCAGTTGGCTGGGGGCAGAGCCAAAGGACAAACCTGGAGCCTAAAAGTTTATCCTGGAACTTATAGTCCAGAGTTGCTACTGCACTCTTCCTAAGGAGCAGACATCAAGAGTCCTTGGCCTTGACTCCCCATGACACTTGCTCTGTGTGCCTACTGGGACTGCCTTGTTCAGCAGAGCCTTCCAGATCTTATGTTAGTGCCTGAGGTCTCTGGGGTACCCATCTCTCTGGGAGCAGAAAAGCAGTTGTCCACAAGTCCCAGGAGGAGCAGTGCCTGCCACCATCTGCCTGGCTCAGTATACTGGTGACCAAGAGCTCCAGGCATTATGTGTCTGGAACCAAAACTGGCCACACAATTTGCAGGGCCTATGCAAAATGAAAATGTAAAGTTATTATAGGATCTAAGGGTGTGACATAATGACAAAGGACATGCTTATCGTACAGCAGTGCAGGAGGCCCTGGATTTAATCTCAGCATCAAAAACTAATAACAACAAAAAGAAGGGGGCTAGGAAAGAAGAAGAAGTCTCAGGTGAGTGAGAAGGTCAGGTGGGGGTGCATGGAGGTTCCACAGCTTCAAATTCTTAGTCCTTGGAGTGGGAAATCCCTGTGGAGTTGTAAGCAGAGAGGTCCTAGAACCCAGGAGGGTATAGTAAGGAAGGACTAAAGGCTTTAAGAATTGTGGGTTAGGGACCAAGGAGATGGCTCAGTAGAATAAGCACTTCCCTGGCAAGCACAAGGGCCTGAGTTCAATCCCCGGTTCCACCAAAAAGAAAATTTGTGGGTTAGCCAGGAATTGTGCTGCACACCTGTTGACCTAATATTCAGGAGGTTGATGTAGGAAGATGGCCAACACCAGCCTTGGGTAATGACTTCAAGGTCAGCCTGAACTGCATAGGAAGATTCTGCCTCAAACAACAACAACAAAGTTGAGAAGGAACAGGGCAGGACAAAAGGGAACAGAAGACCCAGATGGAAAACACAGTGTTTCAATTACTCTTCTCTCATTGCTGGGCCAAATACCCAACACCCAAAACGAAGAAAGGTTTATTTAGCTCACAGTTACTGGAGGTTTCAGTCCATACTTGGCTGGCTCCAAGGCAGGCTGGCACATGACAGAGAACATCAGTTAATGGCGGCAGAACAGCAATGCAACAGAGAGAGAAAGTCTGTCTCTCTTATATTACATTCAGGCTATCCGCCCTAGGTCAGGGTGTACTTACACTCAGAATCGGAGTAATACTAAAACCCATAATCCCAGTGGACCATGAGTTAATCTTAAGCTCTAGAAGTCCCCACTCCATGACAGCATGAGGCTTTGGGGGGCAACTAGACACAAACCATAACACACAGTCAACAGAGTTGGTGGCTGGATATGGGCAAATAAATTCCCTGTGTCCTGGGAATTATGCTTATGGCCTGGGCATTGGGGGCTGGTGGCCATAGCAAGGCCAGGTTGGGAATAGAGTTCTAAATTAGACCAGGCAGGAGGAGCTTATGAGACATTGTAGGGGAAATGTCATTTGTTTTGCAATGCTGGGAATGGAACCCAGGGCCTCCTTTGTTCAAGACAGGCACTGTACTTCTGACTCATGTCCCTAACCCAACAGAGCTTTTAAGAAGACAGAGACACTGGGAAGAAAGGGGAACAGTAAGCAGAGATCTGGAGCCAACATCACCCAATAGGTCCATAAAACCAAGGCCCTGCGTGAGAGATCCCGAGTGATAGAGTAGTAGTAGCAGAAACGATGTGCTAAGGGTGGAGCCCTGGCAGCTGACAGAGGAGAATTCCAAAGAAAGAGGAGGACCAGGAACTAGAGAGGGGCAGGGGACTCGGCCTCAGGAAGAGAGGCTGGTGGTCCTGCAGAAATAGGGAAGAATGGGAGGAAAATAAAGCTCACTCAGGGAAGTCAGTGAAATAAGGAGAGACACAGGATGGTGTGCACATGTAGAAGACACAATAGAGGTTTGCTATGGAGCACGTGATAGGGTATCTGTAGAAATAAAACACTGGGCCACAGTTCTTGACTGGACAGAAAAGACATCAGGGGCCTACTTGGGGTTGGGAGTAGGGTCTCTTTAGCTATCCTCTACATATTCTTTAAAAGAGCCCCCATGTTTAGTTAGGGATATGGCCACAACAGAATAGACTATACTTCCAGTTTCTACTGCAGACCTGTATCCTCCCCTGGAGCAACCTGCTCAGGTCCCCCTCCTGTCCCTCTCTCAGATAGAAGCTTTCTTTCCCCCAATAAATATTTTGCTCTTAACTTAAAAAAATAAAAATTCTTCCCCAGTGCTTTATAACAATCTATAATTTTCAGACATATCTTAAAAGGAGAGTTTGCCCGTCTTTGTCATTTCTTTTTTTTTTTTAATTTAAAAAAAATTTTTTTTTATGTGTGTGTGTGTGTGTGTGTGTGTGGCCAGCTCAGCCCACCAGGGGGCAGGGCTGGCTGGCATGTGGTGCTGGGGTATT